TTGTGTCCCCTCTAAATTACCCCAGGTTTTCAGCTAAAAGGGTCACCTCTATCCCCTCTAAGTAACCCCAGGTTTTCTGTCCAAAATGCTGCCTCGGCTTTCTCTGAGTTCCCAGTCTTTCTCTCAGAAAGGCTCCTTTTTCCTCTCTAAGGTACCCCCGGATTCACCCCACAAAAAAGGTGATTTTGTTTCATCCAGATTATCTCACCATTTCTGTGGAAAATGCCACCCCTCTGCTCCCCCTCCCAATTTGCCTCTGCTTTTCCATCACAAACCTTCCCTCTGTCCCCTGCACAGGAACAGGTTTGACACCCAACCCTCCCCTGCCCAGCTCAGGTTTCACCCCAGAATTGTCCCTTCCCGTCCCGCGGAGAGAACTTCAATTCCCTCCCTAGGATGTCCCTCGCTAATTGCCTCGGTTTTAATTCAAAAGGTTCATTTTATCCACCCCCACCCCCACCACCCCACCCCGGGAGAGACAAAAGACCCTGCCTGTTGGGGAAATGTCCAGGAGAACCGGTTCCTTGTTTGCAAGGACGGGGGATTGCTGTGCTCTCTCAGCAGGATGTCGAGTGCCACCGTGTCCCCGAGGTCACCCTTTCTCCTGCTGGGAGAGCAGGAGGCAGGTGGAAAGGACCCCCAGGCATCTGCAGGCACAAGGGACTTGTATGACTGCAGCTTGCCTATGGCACCTGTAGGATGGACTTTCTGGGTGCCACTGGGTGCCAGCTCTCCTGCTGGAGTTTTTCTGTGCTATATCTGAACACAAAGAGTAAAACAAAAGACGAGTCTGTTCTGGAGTGTGTTACACTTGTGCAAAGCTCCTTCCCTCTGTTTATTTTCCATTCTCGAGGGCACAGTCTGGGGTTCCCAGGAACTTCCTATTAAGTGATCCTGTGAAAATAACTTTGTACTGAAAGGGGAAAGGAGCTGTCTGTGGGAGTTCAGATGTCTATGATAAAAGCTTTATGCTTTTTCAGTCAGGAAGGTCTTAAAATATCTTTCAGTATTACTCCAAGGCCTTACTGAGGTAGCAGCATCTGTGCTAAAAGTAGTCAAGGTCCAGGAAGAGGTTGGGACAACAAGGACAAAGCAGCATCACTTCCAAGGGTTTTCCAGGCTTTCTGAAGGAGTGCCCGCAGCATTGGAACTGGTGCCGCTGAGTCCTGATGGGTTTCTGAGGAGTCATTGCTTCAATCCTGTCCCTGTATCCTCTCCTGTGTGCTGAGTTCAGCTGGAAAGAGATTTTCCAGGGAACAGAAATCTCTCTTGGTCCAAGAAGCTGCATTTGATGAAGTTCCCTTCAGAGCTGATGCCCTGGGCAGAGGAAGTGCTCAGCAAGGAGACTTTTTCCTTCTGGGCAGGAAGAGAGGCCAGTGCCCTTCCTCCCCAAGGCCCAGCCCAGCAGGGCTTCCAGGAGCTGCTGGTGTGGCTGCTCTTTGGGTTCTCAACTGTGCCCGTGGGGTGGTGACGTCGTGTTCCTGCCTGTGCTCCAGGGCAGCCAAAAGCCCCAGTGCAGCCCCTGGGCTTTTTTTGGGAGCCTGAGGGATTGCAGCACTGGGGATGGCTTTGATTTCCTCCTCTCCTCCAAGTAAAACTGTATGGAGGAATTTCTGATCTCCCTGATTTTTGTATCCTAACTGAAACTTGAAAAAAGTTCCCCTTGTGTAATTTACCCACTGACTTGTCTGGGTTGAACCAACAGTGGCAGATTGTTGTAGTGTGCAGGTTATTATTGTTTGTGTCTGAGCAGTTTGTTGTTAATTTACCAAGGGACGCCATGGAATGTTATGGTATTTTTGTCCCAATATTTGGAGGTATTGCCCTGGATTAGTTGATTTCTGCCTCTCACCCTGATATCTGAGTTTTGAGGTGTAACAGCACTAGTAGTTTTTGCAGTGCGATGTACCCTAGAAACTCCACGGAGCTGAGCCAAGGGATTTAAAGGGACTAAGGAAGCAAAGTAAAGAAAGAATGAAGAAGGGAACTGAGGCAGCAGCCAAGCAAGACCAAGTTCCTCTACAACCAGGTGAATTGTCTTGAAGTTGATAAGGTTGTCACGTAGAACTTTGGGGGCTCCAGGCAGAGGTGACCACCAGAGACCCCTGATGGAGCCCCTCAAAGACTTTCTAAGGGTTTGTGTGTATGGTAACAGGTGTTGGGAAATGTCCTGAGTATGGAACAGGAGTGCAGGGAACAAAGTGAACCCTCATGTAATGCTGAGCCCTCCCATCAGCTGCAGTGGAGACACCTCTGTGTGCACTGTGGGAGCTGATTCCCAGGACACCCAGTGGGCTGGGATCACTGCATGGTGTTGTAAGCAAGGAATGCCTGGCTTCTAAAACTCCCCAGCTGAGTCTTAGAGGCTTCTTTGCCGAGCTGTTTTCAGGCAGCCAAATGGGCCCTCAGCAGGGACTCTGTGCCTGCTCTCCCGTGGTTCCGAGGGATCTCTGGGCCTTCATGCCAGCACCGAGATGTTCTCAGGAAGGCTCTCAGATCCCCGGAGCAGTCTGGGACACAGGCACGATCCCCCTGCATTTTGGGAGCAGATTGGGCCCCCTGGAGGGACAGTGCTGTTGGTGCCCCCCGGGCTCGGGGACCCCGAGGACTCGAGTGTGGACGGAAAGGATTCTTCGGGGAGCTCCTGTGGGTGCCCCAAACTGGGGAGCTCAAAGTAAGGTCCCTGGAATGGATTGAGGCATTCCTGAGGAGTATCAGAGCTGGCCATGGAGCTCTAGAATGGACTGTAACTGGGTTATAAAAGTGGTGCTGCAACTGCAAAAGAAGTGTGGGATTGGGATTAAGGAATGAGTGGTGATGGTACCATTGGCTGTTTTCTCTTGACTGGAATTGTGAGAGCTGCAGGAGTGCAAGGTGTGGGTTCCAGTCCCCACCATTTGGTTTGCACATGTCCTGGTCAGACACAGGTCCAACTTCCTCAATCCTGAACACAATAGAGGGAAAATTAAGGAATGGCACTGTGAAGGCGATTGATTGTGACAGGGGTTTAACTGGGAAAACCTTGGGTAATTCCTCAGTTTCTCTCTTTGCCAAACTCACCCAAACCACTGCTAGAAAGAGACTGATTGAAAAAGTTGAGGCAGAAATTAAACTGAAAAAAGAGGAGATGGAAATTGTAACTCCTGAAACTGTAATTCCTGAAACTAAATGTGTGAGAGCAGCAGCTCTTCTTGTGCAGGAAATAATTCCTATCAGCAGCACCATCCCAACTGAAGTGGCAGATGGAGTTGTTCCTGTTGTGCGGGCCAGTGGAATTCCAGGAAAATGGACAAGGACGGGGGGAGGGTTTGGGACTCCCTGGAGGGAAAGGGAGGCTGGATGGGCTGGATGGAGCCATGGGCTCGTGCTCATGGGAACACACTTGTCCAGGGCGCTGGGATCCAGTCAAACTCCAGTTGCCCTCGTGCCCAGGGATGCAGGGTCTGAGGGACCGAAGGCAGAGCTGGGACCAGCCTGTGCCCGACCCGCGGCATGGTCAGCACCAGCTCCTGGGGCTCCCCCAGCTCCCCTGCATCTGTCCCACGGCCCAGCCCAGCTCCAGCCCTGGCAGAGCTGCAAACACCCCCCAGGCTCCTGAACCCCCAAACCAATGCTCAGGCTCACCCACGGGGACCCACCCGCCCCTCTCAGCCCAGCCCAACCCCACAGCTCTGGGACCCCACCATCACCCGGCCCTTTGCCCCTTCCTCTCCACCCTTCCCAGCACACACAGCAAGGACCAGCCTGCAGTGAGAAAAAGAGCCCTTGCCCAGGGAGCAAATGCCAACAGGCAGGAGAAGGGAAACATGTCCCTCTGACTTACCCCACCCCACAGGCAGGACCAGGAGCCCCCAGCACAGCCAGCAGGGCTGGAGCCTCTTGTCTTTGGCTGCTCACACCCCGAGGCATTGGGCAGAGCTGGGTTGAATTCAGGGCTTTGGTCTGTCCTGAAAGAGAGGAGAACAAGACAGTTAAGTGCACTGGGGAGCTCAAAGGGTCTTGTCCTTCACCCTTCTATTCTGAATGCTCACTAAAGTTTTGTCCATAAAAAATCCAGTGGTGACACCAAACAAAATGTAACCTTTTCCAGCATTTTTATTCCTCTCTGTTTCAGGCACTCAAAGGAGGCTCATCTTTCTTACTGCATTCCTTGCCCAATTGGAACAGAATCCTTTTCATTCCAAACCCCCCTTGTGAGTTATTCAGTCCTCTGCCATTGGACTTAGGACAAAGGAAGAGACACCTGCGATGCTGGACCCCAGGAAATCAGGGAGAGAAACCTGACAGGGAAAGGTTTCAAGGCACCCCAGAACTCAGAAATATGTTCATGCCTTGCCAGGCCACCCCAATCCTGTCCCACCCACCTGAGCTGGGCAGCTGAGGCCAAGGCTCCCCTTCCTCCTGGCAATCACTGTCCCAGCGCACCAAGGCCCATGCTGGGCAGCACCTGGGAAAACTTGGGAAAGGCAATAGGAAAAGGGCGCTGCCTGTCAGAAAATGAGTGCCCACGAACACACCTTTTGGACAAATAACATCACTCTCCTCCCATAAACACAGGCCAGGCAGGGCTCTCCAGCCCAGGGGAGAACTGGCAGGAGAACTGCAGGGAACACTCCCTGCAGCCCCCTCAGCACTTGGGGCTCCTGGCTCTTGATTTATAAAGAATGGGGGGGAAGCAGAGCAGGAGTGCCCCTCAAAAACAGGGGCCTTGGCACCTGGAGCATCAGAGGAGGGGAGTTGTGAGGGGAGACCCAGAGAGAGAACAGCAAGGGAGTTTGTTCAGGAACAGGGTGTATGTCCAGCAGTGATGGCAACTGCAAACAGGGGATGCTGCAGGAATGCAGGAGGGGAGCACGGGCCCGGCTTGGATGGAGCCTTTTGCCCTTTGCTCAGAGCAACATCTCTGAGAGCAAGAGAGAACTGCTGCAGGGCAAGAGTTCATTTAGGCACAAGTCAGTGATGCAGCCCCTGGGCAAGGGGAAGAGGAACGGACACCAAAGTCACACAATCACCACTTTATTGAGCTGCAACACAAATACAGTCACAGCAGGCCAGGGCAAGAGGTGCACACAGGACTACCAACACAGCAGCTGGGCTTGCAGGAACACTCTCTCCTCAAGTTATGGAGCAAGGGGCTGACAGGTGGGAGCCAGCCTGGAGCACTGGAGAGCACTCAGGCATCAGGGCCAAGTCCTGCCTGGTCACTGCAGACAGTTCAGCCCCAGCACCAGTGGGAGTTTTTGCCTCTCCCTCCACTATTATTTGGGACACAACAGTTCATTGCTGAGGAATTTTATCCTCATTAATGTTTTACAAAGTTGAGCTTGATGAGAACTGGGGCACTTTTCATTATTCCTGACTCTTCCAGGGCTGCACTTGCCAGGATCCTTTGGGCATGAGGAACCTTCCAGACTGCCCCAGACCTTCACAGCCCACTTGCTCTTCTTGGCACAGGTGGACCAGCTCAGTGTCCCTGCAGAAAGAGAAGGCAATGATCCAGACTCCCCCATTTCAGGCTGAGTAAAAACCTCGACCACATCAGGCCTGACAGGATAACCATCAGGGGCACCTTCCCCTTTCCCTCCTGTTATTGGCTGTGCTTCAGCAAACACTTCACCCTCTAAACCACAGTCTAAAGCAGCTGAATACCAAGTACCTCCACTCCACTTTTTGGGATCCCAACCTATCCCTGCCTCTGCAGTCACAGCATGCACTGGTTTACTTGATCCCTTTGCTTCCCATATTTATACTAGGATACCTGGAGAGCCACTTCTGCTGCTGTTTGACAAGTGTCCAACCTGGCCCTTCATAGTCCACAACTCTTCCACCGGCCCACATGACAGGAACAACTCCATCTGCCACTTCAGTCAGGATGGTGCTGCTGACAGGAGTTATTTCCTGCACAAGAAGAGCTGCTGCTCTCACACATTTAGTTTCAGGAATTACAATTTCAATCTCCCCATTTTCCAATTTAATTTCTGCCTCAACTTTTCCAGCAAATCTCTTCCTAGCAGAGGTTTGGGCAAGTTTGGCAAAGAGAGAAGCTGAGGAATTACCCAAGGTTTTCCCAGTTTAACCCCTGTCACACCAATCACCTTCACAGTGCTATTCCATAATTCTCCTTCCACTGTGTTCAGGATTGAGGAAGCTGGACCTGTGTCTGACCAGGACATGTGCAAACCAAATGGTGGGGACTGGAACCCACACCTTGCACTCCTGCAGCTCTCACAATTCCAGTCAAGAGAAAACAGCCAATGGTACCATTACCACTCATTCCTTAATCCCAATCCCACACTTCTTTTGCAGTCGGAGCACCACTTTTATAACCCAATTACAGTCCATTCCAGAGCTCCATGGCCAGGATGGACAGGTACACCTCTGATACCCTCAGGAATGCCTCAATCCATTCCAGGGACCTTGCTTTGAGCTCCCCAGCTTGGGGCACCCACAGGAGCTCCGTGAAGAATCCTTTTGGTGCGCGCTCAAGTCCTCGAGGTCCCCGAGCCCGGGGGCACCAACAGCACTGTCCCTCCAGGGGGCCCAATCTGCTCCCAAAATGCAGGGGGATCGTGCCTGTGTCCCAGACTGCTCCGGGGATCTGAGAGCCTTCTCGAGAACATCTCGGTGCTGGCGTGAAGGCCCAGAGATCCCTCGGAACCACAGGATAGCAGGCACAGAGTCCCTGCTGGGGGCCCATTTGGCTGCCTGAAAACAGCTCGGCAAAGAAGCCTCTAAGACTCAGCTGGTGAGTTTTAGAAGCCAGGCATTCCTACACACTGGAAGACATTTGAAGACCTTACTGACTGGAAAAGCAGAAAGCTTTTGTCATGGACAGCTGAACTCTCACAGACACAGCTCCTTTCCCCTTTCAGTCCAAAATTATTCTCATGGCATCATTTAATATGAAGTGCCTGGGAACCCCAGACTGGCAGGACCAGGAGCCCCCAGCACGGCTGGAGCCTCTTGCCTTTGGCTGCTCACACCCCAAGGCATTGGCAGAGCTGGACCCAAGTCAGTGATTTTCCTTGTCCTGAAAGAGAGGAGAATAAAGACAGTGAAGTGCACTGGGGAAGTCAAAGGCTCCTGGCTTTCACCCTTCTCTTCTGATTACTCACTACAGGCCTTTCTTCCCTAAAACCTGCTCTTACCTAGGACAAGCTGAGCAATTCACAGAGTTGCTGGTTGTATCCCAGCTTCCCAAAGGATTTCTCTCTCCCAGTAGCAGCACCAACGCTCCACAGGAAGCCCTGACCGAGGCTGGGAACTGACACACAACAAGCCAAAAGCATGAACTCAGCACCAAAACACTCAACAATAAACCAATTTAGAGTCACCTTTGTCTCCTCCCATGCAGGCAGAGGCTTTGGGATTCCAAGGCAAATCCAGAGACCCCAGAGAGCAGCAGCCCCTCAGCCCCACCACGGCCTCCCCCGGGCTCACCCGGCAGGCAAGCGGGATGCCCAGCTCCTGCTGTGCAGCACAGCACGCACGGGGGTGACCTCTGGGATCCCTCCCTGGCCACTGCAGAGCATGCAGGCAGCAGGGCCAAGTCCTGCCAGCCCCCAGGCACTGCAGACACTTCAGCCCCAGCAGCAGGGGCATTTTCTGCCTCTGGCTCCCCTCTCATTTGCAGCTGAAGGGTGAGGAACAAGCCCTGAGCAGACAGTGCGGGACTGGAACCGGCACAATCAACACCAAGCAGCAAGCCCTGGGCTTGCCAGAGGCCTGGGCCTTCCTGGGCCAGGCTCTGGGCTGCCTTGGCTTTCTTCTGCTGCAATTATCCTGCCCTGGGAAGTGTGAAAACACAGACTGCCCAGTGAGACATGCCCTGGAACAGCAATCAATTCTAACTCCAGAAAATTTCAGGGCCATACTTAGAAACCCTTCAGCAAGGGCCCCAGAAAAGCCAAGGTGAGCTGTGATTACCTGGAGTCCCAGGGAACTGAGGGGAAGGTGGGGACCGAGCAGAGAGCAAACACCTCCAGCTGCTTCTCACTCCAGCCCCCACAGCAAGTGCAGCAAATGCACACCGGTGGAGAGTTTGTAGGAGAGCTGTAAAAGAAATTAAAAAACAATTAGTTGACAGAAAAATCCTTCTGCAGTCCACACTACGAAACAACTCCAATTGCTCACTAAGAGAATCACCTCATTTAGAACAACTGAATTGTAGAACCCCCTGGCTTATCAAATGTATTCACTGACACCCAAAAGAACAATTGCAAGCAGTGAGACTGACATCACAAATAACTCTTGGCTTTAAAAACAAGCAGAAAAAAAGCCCCAAAACCCCAAAGCAGAGCTGCGAGTGCCCCGAACCCTGTCCAGACCAGAACCATTCACCGGGAGCTCCCCCTGCAGCCGCGCCCCCGCCACTGCCCCAGAACAGCTCCAGTGCTCCCGGCTTTGTCTGTCACAAGTATTTCCTTCGTTGTTAAGAAGGACAAAGGGTCCAATCAACAATAAACCTCATGTCATCCCTCTGCAAATAATAACCCTGCAGTTTGCCTGCCTTCCTGCACTGACAGCAGACAGCTTGGACACCCTGATGGAACATTAGACAGCTCTCTCCAACGTTTCTGAAAACCTCCTTAATCTTGCCTGTGGTAAAACCCACCCTTTTCATTTGATCGGGAAAAAACAAAACCAAACCAAAGAAACCTGACACAGGTCACAAGCTACCAAAGAGACTCCAAGCCACGGGAGAAAAGCTACAAACAGGTGAACTTTCAAGGAAATTCCACATCCTCCAACATTCTGCTCGTGTTGCCTGCGCTGCTCCCTGGATATGACCCGCTCCCGGCCATCTGCCCAGCAGCAGACACCACCACTGCCCTCTCCAACAGCAGCACCTCAGCCACGAGCCACCACTGTTCCCAGAAGCACCGCTGTCCAGTTCCGTGCCCATCCACGGCAGACGTGGCAACTGAGCCGTGTCCACTGCCTGCTGCCTGTCAGACAGGACCCTCTTCTCTAGAAACAGCGGCTCAGTGGGCAGCACTGCCATTTGCCAGACACATCCTTACTCCCAGCAGTCAGTTCACGCTTCAACACTTCACCAAGTCTGGGCGAGGACTTGCAGGGCCTGAAGGCTCACGCCGTGGTGTGGCACTCACGTGGTGTCTGTGGCAACCATTCTGCCACTACGGAATGTTTTCTCCTAGGAAACACACCCATTCCACAGGTTACACATCTCACCAAAATGCAGCAATTGACCTCCAACCCCACCAATTGCCTTCTTGCTGTCACCACATCCTTACCCTGAGAAGGCAGGGGGAAGTCTACAGCTGTTGGAGCAGTTTCTGGGAATGCAATAAAGCACCTTTTCTTTGGACTGCACAAGGGCAAGTGCTGAGGGCACCACGCAGCTCCTGCCCAAATCCTGTCCTGTCCCCAGCGATGCCTTGGAAAACACACGTGCCCGGGCTGCAGCTCCCAAGGGACGATGCAGGGATTCAAGCGCGCACGCCCGCGGGCAGGGGGGTTCTTCCCCGTGGGGGCCGCCGGCCCCTCCAGCTCCCCCCGCGGCCGCGCGGCCCCTGAGCCGCGGAGGCTCCGCTGGCCCCGCTGCCCCCGCGGCCGCTCCGCCACAGGGAACGGCCGGGCAGGATCCGGCAGCGCCGGGACACCGGCCACGGGCACCCGGGCACCCGAGCACCGGCAGCAGCAGTACCGGCTCTCCACGGAAGCCCCGGGGTGGGGGATGAGGGATTCCCTCCGCCCGGCGCAGCCGGGAAATCGCCCGCTGCTCCCCCTCTCCCAGCCGGGGAGAGGTGGCGGCTCCCTGGGGGCGCACAGGGAAGCGATGCCGCCTGCCCTCCGAGTGTGGGACAGCACACCTGCCGGACTGCCCTCTCTCCAAAGAGCTTCCAGAGAGCAGTCGCCGCAAAGACCCAAATCCCAGCATTCAGGGCTCTTGGAATGTCGCTGGGAAACACCTCGTTCAAGCGGACACTTCCCTGGGAACGATTCAGCCCCAGTATCGTGCTCCGTAAGCAGGGGAGAAAATCTCCCTCCCTCTTTGGGTTGCCAAGCGCTCCAGCAGCAGCAGGAGGCTGCCTTTGCCCATCCCAGCCGCCCCGCGCTGTTCCGAGCTCAGCTCACCCCTCCAGAAGCCGCAGGACGGGTCATTCCCCGAGGAAGGGGGAGTTCCCCACGAGCCCCCGCACGGAACGGGCACGGAGCGCTCCACAGCGAGCCCCGCCAGCCCCGGGAGCCGAGCCGAGCCCCGACCGCCAGCGCAGCCCCCCAGCCCCTCCCGCCGGACCCCGCACAGCTCCGGGGACTGCCGGTCCCGCAGCGTCCTCCGGGAACAGCGGGAGCGAGTAGGGATGGGGAAAACCCGGACTGGATTTTTCCAGGAGTACGGAATGGGGGAAAACCCGGACTGGATTTTTCCAGGAGTACGGAATGGGGGAAAACCCGGACTGGATTTTTCCAAGAGTACGGAATGGGGGAAAACCCGGACTGGATTTTTCCAGGAGTACGGAATAGGGGAAAACCCGGACTGGATTTTTCCAAGAGTACGGAATGGGATTAAAAAAAGAGAAAAAAGGGGGGGGAAAGGGGGAAAAAAGAAAAAAGGTGGAAGAGGGTGGAAAAGGGTGGAAGAGGGGGGAAAGGAGGGGGAAAGGAGGGGAAGGGGGGAAAGGGGGGAAAGGAGGGGAGAAGGAGGGGGAAGGGAGAGGAAGGGAGGGGAAAGGAGGGGAAAGGGAGGGGAAAGGGAGGGGAGAAGGGGGGAAAGGGGGGAAAGGGAGGGGAAAGGGGGGAAAGGAGGGGAAGGGGGGAAAGGGGGAAAGGGGGGGGAAAGGGGGGAAGGGGGGAAAGGGGGGAAGGGGGGAAGGGGGAAAGGGAGGGGAAAGGGGGGAAGGGGGGAAAGGGGAGGAAAGGGGGAGGAAAGGGGGGAAAGAGGGGAAAGGGGGGAAAGGGGGGAAGGGGGAAAGGAGGGGGAAAGGAGGGGGAAAGGAGAAAAAAAAAAGAACAAACCACAAAAAACCCCACCACAGCCCAGCAGGTTTCTGGGGGAACCCAAATTATTTCTGCACTTCAGAAGCTGCACATCCCTAAAGCATTCCCTTGGGAAACACCAAGCTTTCCACAAGCATTTTCTACTTCAATTTGGACTTCCAGCACATTTAAAGACCATTTAAATCAGAATGAAAGGACTTGGTGACAGCACAGCATTGGGTCGGGGACATCAGGACACTCAAACCATACTCACTGTGGACTCTCCAGCCCCAGCACTCCGGTAGCCTCCTCATTTCTCACTCTGTTTCAAGGACTCCCATCAGGAAACGGATCCCTATTCCCAGAAGCAAATCCCCAAGGCCCTTTTTACAACCTGCAAACCACAAGAATGACCAAGGGCAGCTGCTGGCAGAGGACACAAAGAGGATTGTGGGGATCAGACACCTTTACCTGGGAGGGCTCCAGCTTTCACCCGCCATCCACAAGCAGCTCTGGATTTTCATGCTGCTTTGCTTCACAGGGCCTTTTCTGCCAAGCTCACTGCTGGAAAATTTTGTCTGGTCTTGAGACACGTCTTACAAAGCTGAGCTTCAGGAGAGCTGGGGCACTTTTCATTATTCCTGACTCTTCCAGGGCTGCACTTGCCAGGATCCTTTGGGCACAAGGAACCTTCCAGACTGCTCCAAACCTTCACAGCCCACTTGCTCTTCTTGGCACAGCTGGACCAGCTCAGTGTCCCTGCAGAAAGAGAAGACAATGATCCTTTCTGAAACCAGAACCTCCCCAGCTTTGCTTTACCATCCAATGTTTTGTTCCAGGCCTTGCCAAGTGGCCGCCAAGGAATCCAACCCAGGAACCTGCCAGGGAGCAATGTCTGTGCCTCAGCAACAGCATTCCAGGCCTGTCACTGCCAACCCTCCGCTTCTCCCAACAGCTCCAGTGGCACCAGAACTTGCCCTGAAGGCAGAAAGGCTCCTTTAGGGAGCACCACGAGCCATCTATAAGGTAGCACTGGAATTCCATCTCCTGGACAAGCTGGGAGAAGCAGAAAAGAAAACTAGAATCTTACAGGTCAATTAAGGGCACTTCTTCATCCAACAGCAGCTCCAATAAAGGTACTGAGTCAACACCTCACCAAAGACACAGGACAACAAGTGCCAACACCTCGACAATCATACCAGTTTTCAGACACTTCAGAAGAGTCCATCTCATTTTAACCAGTTTGTGGGACTTGTTCCCAGCCTCCTGAAACTCATTTCCCACATCACTCATGGCTGCACTAGAGCTGGTTCTACACACACAAACACAAAGAGCTACTGCTCCTTAAGTCCAGTTTCCTGGTTCTCCTTGAAACTCCTCCAGCTGTTTGCCCAGCTCTCCAGTGTCCATTCCTTTGCCCACTGGACTTGTTCACAGCCCCAAGGCTCCCAGGGCCACCCTGGGCTCTCACCTGCCCTCACACCGAGTGACCTTTCCCAGCCCTGAGTCCAACCAGCACTGACCGAGCTGTTGGGAGCTGCAGTTCTCCCTGCTCCTTCCCTCCCTCTGCCTGGAAAAATGTGTACATATAAAATTATATAAAGTGTGGACCTTCCAGCTCCGGCACCCCACCTCTTACCTCCCAAAAAAGCAGAGCTGCATCCTCCTGGATCCTCCAGCTGGACGCTGGTGGCTCTGTGCAGCTCCCACCCTGCAGCAGGGGATGGCAAAGGGAGCTCTGGGCACTGTCCCAAGGGCAGGTGACACCGACTGTGGCTCACACCAACACGGAGCCATCTCAGGGCTGGGCTCTTCTGGCTGCAGGGCAACAAACAGCCAAGCAGGAACACTTTGCCACTGAAAGGAAACAGTGACAACAAACTTCAGAGGCTGGGACACCACAGCCCCCAAACCTGCCCAGGCTCCAGCTGCTGCACAGACCTGTGGCCAGACAGGACCCAAACCCACAGCCAGCACAGACAACCATGGGGAGGTCAAGCTGCTCATTGCCAACCACAACCAAACATCCACTGCCAGTGTCTGTCAGCCCTTGCTCCCAGGAATCAATCATCTTTCCCATTTCCTTTCTTTACAGGTTCTTGCATTCACATTCTACTCTCAAACCATGATTACCAAACTTGGCTGTTACAGGAACCAATCCAACTTGGCTTCCTAATTTTAAAGGATACTGGGTTTGCCTTACCAGTACAGACTCTGACTTAGGGGTAATTCTTACAGGTTCTGCCCTGGTCCAGTTTCCTGGAATTCCACTAGCCCACACGACAGGAACAACTCCACCTGCCACTTCAGTCGGGACGGTGCTGCTGACAGGAGTTATTCCCTGCACAAGAAGAGCTGCTGCTCTCCCACATTTAGTTTCAGGAATTAGAATTTCAATCTCCCCATTTTCCAATTTAATTTCTGCCTCAACTTTTCCAGCAAATCTCTTCCTAGCAGAGATTTGGGCAAGTTTGGCAAAGAGAGAAGCTGAGGAATTACCAAATGTTTTCCCAGTTTAACCCCTGTCATAACAATCACCTTCACAGTACCATCACTGCTCATTCTGTAATCTCAATCCCACACCTCTTTTGCAATCAGCACACCACTTTTATAACCCAATAACAGTCCATTCCAGAGCTCCATGGCCAGGATGGACAGGTACACCTCTGATACTCTCAGGAATGCCTCAATCCATTCCAGGGACCTTGCTTTGAGCTCCCCAGCTTGGGGCACCCACAGGAGCTCCCCGAAGAATCCTTTCTGTGCACGCTCGTGTCCTTGGGGTCTCTGAGCCCAGGGGGCACCAACAGCACTGTCCCTCCAGGGGGCCCAATCTGCTCCCAAAATGCAGGGGGATCGTGCCTGTGTCCCAGACTGCTCCGGGGATCTGAGCGCCTTCCCGAGAACATCTCGGTGCTGGCATGAAGGCCCAGAGATACCTCGGAACCACGGGGGAGCAGGCACAGAGTCCCTGCTGGGGGCCCATTTGGCTGCCTGAAAACAGCTCAGCAAAGAAGCCTCTAAGACTCAGCTGGTGAGTTTTAGAAGCCAGGCATTCCTTGCTTACAACACCCTGCAATCATCCCAGCCCTCTGGATGTCGTGGCAATCAGCTCCCACAGTGCACACAGAGGTGTCTCCGCTGCAGCTGATGGGAGGGCTCAGCATTACATGAGGATTTTGTTCCCTGCGTTCCTGTTTCATATTCAGGACATTCCCCAACACCTGTTACCATACACACAAACTCTTATAAGGTCTCTAAGGAGCTCCATCAGGGGTGCCGTGGAGTTTTTGCCTGTACCACTGTAAGAAAGTTTAGGAATTCAGCAACTGAAAAAGCATAAAGATTTATCGTGGACATCTGAACTCCCACAAACAGCTCCTCTCCCCTTTCAGTACAAAATTATTTCCATGGTATCATTTAATAGGAAGTGAATGGGAACCTAAGAACAGTGTGCTCTCCAGAACAGAGGGAAGGCTGTGCAGGCTGCAGAACAGACCTGACTTGATTTTCACTATTTGTGTTGAAATATTTCACATAAAATCTCCAGCAGGTGAGCTGGCACATCCTCAATGGACACTTGGGAGTGGACCCGAGAGCTGAGTTCAGACCATGGCCCCAAGGTCATGGCCCCTATGGCCGGGAGACAAGTCCAGACTATGACCTCAGGGTCTTGAGGGTCCAGTATCCAACTCAAAGAAGTGGCTGGAGACAGGGTGCAGGCACTTGAAGAGGGGGCTGCTGTGGTACAGAGCGATGGATCCCAGGTGAGAGGTGCAGGTGGAGGAGGCTTTGTGCCGACCAGCTGCAGGGCAGAGCCGAGGAACAGCGAGAGGACGGATTCATGTCATTCCTCCCAGATTTCCTACGAGATGGCAAGGAACAAGACAAAAACACATCACCTGCAGCTCTGCTTGGCTTGTGAAGCCCAGGAGAATATACTCGGGCACAAGTGTCTCATTGTCTCCAACCATGCTGAATGTTTTATATGTCCGGTTCAGCTGCTTTGTGTCTTTCAAACTGAAAAATTTAATAGGATTAAATGCATCAGTGATATTAAGAACATCAATTCTTGTCAATTGGTTATAAAACTTTCAGTCAACAAAAGGTAAATTCTCTTCGAAAGAGGAAAACCACAAGTTCCTGACACCGGTATCCACATTCAGCCAACATATTTGAAAGCAGGTGGATATTTAAGACATTAAGGAGGGAAATACCATACCAGAATAAATCATAAATAAATTGCAAGG